ACTTTTTAATTCAGGAATAATGCTGGAAACCAGATGTAAATTATCTAAGGTTTATCTATACTACAATAAGAAAATAAAAACTGTGCAAAAATATGTAACAAGAAACTGCCACTTTAATAGTGGTAATATATAAATCTTATTTCAATTTAAGTTCTTGAAACAAATCTGTGAACTGTAGAATATGAGGATTTTGGAGTGGCCACTAGACACTATATTGTAGAATATCTTTAAGTAAACAAGTAAATTCTAATAAATTCATATTTCTGATTATCTTGCTGCCTTTTTTAGTGTGTTTCTTTATGTTTTGGAATCAAAATGTTGAGACACTTATAATTCCGATTTTCTTTTTACATTCACACTAGGCTTTGAAGCCTTGTAGGGTCCTTACAAGATATATACATCTTTTTCATGATCAGTTTTTCTTCAAATATAGCAATAAGCAGGACCAATCGCTGCACTCATTAGCTGCTGAACCATTAGTTTTTCCAAGGCAGTCATCTGTTGTCTGGCCTGTGATTTTAAGGTCCAAAAACTTACATGACCTCTGATACCAGAGAGGTTACACATTGTTATGTCAATCCTTCGATGGCACACTTGTGTATTCCAGGACATATTACATCGAATGATAATCTAATCAAATTAGATTAGATTACACTGTGGTTGTACGCGAGGTATATGTCCCATTGCGGAAAACCATATCAGAAGCCATGCAGTCCTTTGGAAAATCCAGAGGGTTACATGGTGCTTGTCTTTTTAATGTTACAGCGCAGTAATCCACCTGCTCTGCATCTAGTCCAGACTCCAGCCACCGAAAACACACAATTCGCTGGAATGAACGCCGGAAATTGTCTGACACAAAACCATACAGAATAGGATTGGCACCACTGTTGGCATAGCTTAGGATGACAAAAAGTTGAGTGACCATTGGGTCTGGCGGCCGGTGGAAAACACTGACCAGCTGGACAATGTAGAAAGGCATCCAACAAACAACAAATACTGCCACGACCAGCAGCACCATCCGGGTGATCTTCTTCTCTGAGCGTCTTCGTTGAAGCCACCCAGCTTTTAGCCCCACTGCTCGCATTCTGGCCACCATGAGACAGTAGCACAAACAGATGGCTCCAACTGGCAATAGAAACCCCAACAGAAAGGTATAGACCACGAATGCTTCTGACCATGCCGCTTCAGGCCACAAAAAGTTGCAGTCCACCCCACCGTCCTGTGCAGGGACAGTGTCTGCGAAAATAATGATGGGCAAGATGACGATGAGCGAAAGCCCCCAGACGCACACATTGACAACTTTGGCCACGGTGGGTCTGCGGTAGCGAGCAGCCTTGATTGGGTGGACCACTGCTACGTAACGGTCAACACTCAGCACAGTTAGGCAGAAGATAGATGTAAACATATTGATACCATCCACACTCAGCACCAACCTGCACATCAGTGACCCAAAGGGCCAATGACGAACAGCTGCTGAAGTGGCTAGAAAAGGAACACTCAACATGAACAACTCATCAGCAATAGCTAAGTTGAGGATGTAAATGTTTGTGGCTGTTTTCATTTTGGCATACTTCAGAATAACATAGATGACCATGGCATTGCCAGTAAGACCTACACAGCAGACCAGAGCATAGATGGATGGGATGATGATTTTACTGGCGTCAGGCTCTTGGTAGTAGTCCTCATAGTCCATGCTTGTGTTGTAGGGTAGCCCTGTTGGATAGGATCCATAGTCCTGGCTCCCATTAAAATCCATCGTCCCTTTTAGTGAGTAGGTGACACCAACTATACGGCTGAATGACACCAGCAAACAGAACTATAGAGAGGCGAACAACACAACCTTGATTAATACTAAATTGTGCAAGCCCCTATGTTTGTCTAGACATGGATGTTATTTTTTGTTTTTTTAACAATGTAGTTTATTTGTTATATTTAACAAGTCTGTTTTAGCAATATATTAACACCATTCTCCACCAACTCAACCCTGTCTGGTGGCTGCATCTACGAAAATGGACAGAGAGTACAAAATGAGTTTAATTTTGAAAAATATGTCCATGTGTGCTAACATTCCTGAATTACTTTATGTGTGCTTTATTTTATCTCATGCTAACTATGTCATTGTTGCAAAAAAATTTCAAACAGTGATATTCTCATAGGGAGTGCTGCATTTTTCTTATTCATCTATCTCTGACAGATGAGAGAATGTCACAAGAATTCACAAAGTCTTACATAGCTATATTCTTAGATACCATCATCCAAGACAGTAAAAAACATCCATTATTTCCTCCTGTCATAGTCCATGTCTCTTTGATTTTCCTTGGTTTCTTGTATTTTTGCTTGTCAATAACTTTTCATTGTGAAGTTAAGACAACATTGATCCTTCTTTTCCATTTAGCCATAGAAAAACTGGAATTTCTCTAAAGGCACTTAGTGTACCATAATTCACAGGATTCTTAGCAAGCAATCACATCGTTCTGTTTTCATGCAGGAAAAAGCATACTTCTTTGTGGCCATTTGTTGTAGACGATAATACTTACAGTTGATATGATCAAAAGAAAGGTATGATCATTTGGAGACACAACATATAAAACACTCCATCCGTTGAAATTGTGTGTTGTGGCAGGTCAAATTATGTAGAGTGTCCACTTAAAGAGGGTGTCGTTTGGCTCCTGGGCTCATATTGTCTGGTTGATAGAGTCTCACAGTTGTTGCTGAGTGCAGCAAAATCATGTAAATACAGAAGCTTCTCCTCAGGATACATTATGCCCCCATTTTCTGTGACCTAAATTATGAAAACCTGTGAAAAAACAAAAAACAAAAAAACAAACTGTCACTTATTTTGCATCTGACAGACACCAAGCACAACATCAAAGTACAAGTGAATCATACCTAAGAAGATCTGACACTGTATTCGTTTTCCTGGTAGACCTCTGCATTTACCAGGAATGTATATCCCTCAAGATACTTCTTTAAATTTTCTGAAGCTCTGCAGTCATACTTGGCATACAAATTAAATACTATCCACAAGTTGTAAAACACACCATGAAAACTAGGACTTCCTTTAGGGCAATGAAGCAGCATGGTCAGAAGCAGTGATGGTCTGTTGCTCCTTAAGTTGCTGTTTAATGGTGACCTGGATGGGAGTGCCACGGCTAAAAGCTGGCTTGCTTATTATAGGGGTGTCTATATCTGCCATTTCACAAATTTAAAAATTCTGCTCTGTCATAATCACATATGGACTGTCTACACTAACATGAATTACCAACAGACCATGGGTAGTAACTGAGAGGAACAGTAGAGTAAATACCCATGGACACCTATGGCGTCTCTTATTTAAGTGGCTCCTAATACTGTGTCATTGTGCACAGACAGAGCTCGGCTGATGTCCTCTGTTTCCAGCTGTTCCTCTTTCCTAACCCTAACTTGTAGCTTTATCGGGCTTGATTTCAGTTGTCATGGTTTGGAGCATTACACCTCAATTCAATTCACCTTTATAAAGAAATGCAAAAATCCGACTTTTGAGTGCCTACAGTCTAGATTCCAGTGTTTGTTGTCTCCATCAGGAGGATGGAAGCCCATAGTCTTTTCCAGCGTTCCTTTATCTAAGCTTACAACCTCCTGTGTTTGGATGCAGATTGTTTTGAAATGAGTTGAATATGGATTTAAAACTAAGGAAAACTAACACTCATCTAGTTAAGTGTCACATTTCAAAACCTAATTTGGTAAAGTGACTATTTAGCTGCTCTCTCTCTTTTCCTTTAAATTGGATTTTTTTATTTCAGCAGTAAAAATCTGCCGTTATCAATGTTCGATTGATGCATAACAATTATCAGGAATTCCCTTAGAAGGCATAGTCATTTACAGCATTGTGTCATTTATGGAGGAAGCAGTGTTTATGGTTGTCTCCTAAGTGGCCACACCAGGCAGTTTACTTCACATGATTTACAGGTCGTAGAAGTTCTCATTCTGCAGTCTTATTCTTGTCATGTGGTGCAGATGAGAATATGTTAATACATGACAAGACTGATTGCTCATTGGAGTGGAGACAAAGTTCTTGCCAATCTTGACAAGATACTGTCAACATTCAGTTAACACCTAAATTTTTGTCAAAGGCTACATATAAAGTAGACTAATTTAGAGAAGGCCTCATCTATAGTAGCTGCTGACATGTCAGTTCCTCATCCACCCTGAAGTATTTCACAGAATGGCTCATATATGCCAGATTATCTAGATGACTATTAAGATGGACGAATAAGGAATGGAGGCAGGACCATCCCGAAAAAAAAAGGAAGTCAGAACACTGTTTTTGTTCCTTTCCACTTGAAAAAACTTTGTTGAGAAGAGGAAGCTGTGGTGTCAAAAAAAAAAAGAAGAAAAAAAACAATGAATTTTTAACCCTTGATCACTGTCATTCTACATACTTTATTTTGCCTTCCCAAAGGGAACTGGAAAAAATGACCCACTTGGTCAAATGGTCAGTTCATTAAACTGTAAGAAGTACTCATCACAATACATAAAACACTAATTAATGAGAGCGGTTGTAAACATATTTGACACCAGCAACTGCTTAAGCATTTTTCTTGACCCATTATATTGAACATTACAAAATGGCAATGCTGGCTGAGAGAAAAGCCCCAGATGTAGAGCTTTCTGCATTTAGATGAATACTTGATGTCTCAATCTGACTTAAATACAAGCATTTGCAACATATTCCCAAATTTTTAATAGTTTCTGTGTCTGTTCAAAGATTTTAGCTAATGTCCAACCATAGAGTGATGGAAGGTATGTTGAAATACATTCCGAAATATTTACAAAAATTAAAGCAACCGTACAGAACTTGAAGAGACCAAAGTGGTGCTTGTAGAGAAAGCAAACCCTGCATCTGTTGAAAAGCATGTTCCTTCCACTTAAGCACAGTGCTGTATATAAACATTCTCATATAAAGCATTTTTTAAAATTAGATACAAGTATAAATTAGTGCTAACGATAATGGTAGACTTACTGCTGTCAGAACATGATTGTGAAACAGCATGAAAACTGCTTTCATTTAATTACATAAAAGATCTGTACTCTGCGACACACTCTTCTCAGTAATCATGTAATCAGTATATGCATTGGTGCTCATAATAATAATAATGTTATGGCATGGTCACTATTTAACCTGAATTCAATTGTATAATCTTGTGTCATTCCTGAACTCTAAGGGTTAGTAACACAGTGACAAGCTGCAAAACAGTCTTATCACAGCAGCAATAACACAGTCAACTCAATTTAGTTTTATTTATATGTTTCCAAGCTTTTGATACTCTACACCATTGGATGGTCTATGTTCCTCTTTGCGACTGATCTAGAGTCTGTGTAGGTAATGGTCCACACTATCCTATTGATAGTTCAGTCTTTGGTTGATGGCCCAAGCTCATCCTTTGATGGTGTAGCCTATCTCTGCTGGCAGTGATCGTCTGCACTGTCAGAGCTGTTTAGTTCATAGTTCAGCCTTTTCTCTTGATGGACTGTCATGCTCTTTTGATTGTGAACCATATCTTTGATAGACTTAGGATTTCTTTGTAACAGGACAAATGGTATAAAGTTGTTAGCTGTACCTTGACATGTTTCGGCGTCTTATCTGTCGCCTTCTTCAGAAGTGTCATCTGACGTGTGTGACGTGTCTTTATCAGCTGTTGTTCCTAGGTGTGGCCAATCTGACAGATCCAGCGGGTGTGTCAGTTTTCATATTACGCACCCTACATATAAAAAAATATATATAAATATAATGCCAGTAGAGTTACAGAGCCCTTCAGGTCAGTCCAGATGCAACAGCTGCTAAAGCAGCTTAGCAGCAGCTTAAACTTTACCCGTCCAGAAGCATCAATGGATGAAAAGGAAAGTGTCCAAAGTCTTAATTAGTCCTCCACTCTTAGCCTAGCTAGCTCCACGCCAACCTTTCCCTCCTAAAGTTGTAATAGGACTGCTTAATTGTAGGGAAAAAAAAGATGTGTCAGAGAGAGAAAATTATTTTCCTGTGCTTTACTTTACATTAATGTACAACTAAGGCTGCTGCTGTGAGTATTGTTGTTTTCACAAGAACACATTTTATGTTAATATTGCAGAGAAAATACATCACACATACAAAGGCATCCACTGGATGGATATATAAAAGCCTTGAAGTCTTTGAGTTTTTGTTCCAATAAGGGAGAAGCACTCAGGATAAAACTGCTATTTTCCTACTGACCAGCTTAAAGCTAGCTGAGAATGATCAAGAGTGCCAAAATTGGATTTATCTCCTACTAAAAAGTCCCCAACCATTACCTCCTGTTAGAGTAATGTTAATTTTTGACTAGGTCTCCTTGAAAAATAAAACTACATATTTGCTAGGTGTTTTTAAAGAATTGCACCTATCTTAGGAATACCACAGGATTGAAACTACTGTGAGACCAACTAACATGTGGTTGCTTTAAGTCTTTTCATGGGATAAGAAAAATCTAGAATAATGCCAACTGTACTCTCTATGTAATGTCTTAGCTATATAGCCCTTAACATGGGTCGGCTGCAAAGTGGCATCTGTATTATTTTGTATGCCACATCACCATCCTGTTACAAAAGGACAATAAATTCTAATAACTTGTTTAACTGTAAACTAAATTGTATAATTCATCCCACTCTCACCCAACCGGTCGAGGCAGATGGCCGTCCCTCCCTGAGCCTGGTTCTGTCGGAAGTTTTTTTTTTCCCCTGTGGGGGTTTTCGGTTTTCCCACTGTTGCAGACTGCTTGCGGACTGCTGAAGCTTATAGGGAATCCAAATGTTTTGGATTGTTGGGTGTTTCTGTTTCTGCCTTTGTGAAGCGCTATGAGATGACTGTTGTTGTAAATATGCGCTATACAAATAAAATTGAATTGAATTGAATCACTACCTATAACATCACTTCAAAATTTAACAGTTGTCAGAAGGCAACCAGTATTTTACATTTGAGAGCAGAATTGAAATTGTTTTATATCTTCATTTGTAAAAGTATTGTCTTCATTCCCAACTACCTGCTGTGTTGTTCTTTGTGGTCTCGATGCCAAAGTTCAATGCTGCACATAATTAACATTTACATAATAATCGGTTACATTTGAACAAATGCTAAATGTTATTTTTCTTGGGAATATAGCCTCATCTCAACACAACTTTGGTCTTAAAAAAAAAAAAAAAAAAAACTTTTTATCAAATGATGCTCTGTTTTTGTGTGTCATCTCGCTATGTAGACACTGCATCTAACATGACAGCTAGAAAGCTTCAATCACAGGCTCTGGTGATGCCCACAATCACTGACAAAAGTGCAAGTAATCAGTAGATGAGTTCAAGAAGAGACGTGGCTCCCTGAGACACCGGACTTCACCGCTCCCCAGCACCCAGACCTCGCTGCCAAGGTTGCGCCGGTCCCACCGGTCCCACCACACCGGTCCTGCATCCATCCTCGGGCGGGTCGACGTCGCCACTGATCCGGTTCCTGTTCCCGAGCTGGTCGATGCAGCCTCTGTTCCTGTTCTTGAGCTGGTCGATGCCGCCTCTGTTCCTGTTCCCGGGCGGGTCGACACCGCCACTGAGCCGGTTCCTGTTCCTGTTCTCGAGCGGTTCGACGCCATCTCATCTGATTCTGTTCCTGTTCCCGAGCGGGTCAACACCGTCTCACCTGACCCTGTTCCTGTTCTCGAGCGGGTTGATGCCGTCTCGGTTCCTGTTCTCTCCTCTTCCTGTTCTCAGGAGGGCTGATGCCGCCTCAGTTCCTGTTCTTGAGCGAGATGATATTCCCCTTGA